CTCTCTCTCTCTCTCTCTCTCTCTCTCTCTCTCTCTCTCTCTCTCTCTCTCCCAGCACCACCAGAGAGGGAATCGACATTAAAGGTGTGTACCACTATGACCAGCCACAGCCAGAGCCTCTCTTAATGAAATTCCCAAAGAAGATAAGAAGCTAGGAGACAGACTCAAGGTTCATGTGCATGGTACTGAAAGTCACCACTAAGCTAAGACATTTTCCAATAGTAAGTATATAAAAGATCTAATATTTATCTGACAAATGATGCTTGTCTTCTCCCTTTGTAGGCTCTCTCTCTCTCTCTCTCTCTGTGTGTGTGTGTGTGTGTGTGTGTGTGTGTGTGTGTATGTTACTGATGATTGATTTTTATGGTGTCATGTAGACAAAGCTCTCCACCGCTGAAATACAGCTACAGGAAACAGGCTAAGTTTTTGTTGTTGTTGTCTTGTTTTTCGAGACAGGGTTTCTCTGTGTAGCTTTGAAGCCTGTCCTGGAACTTGCTCTGTAGATCAGGCTGGCCTTGAACTCAGAAATCCTCCTGCCTCTGAGGTGTGAGCCACCACCGCCCAAGGAGGCGTTTATACCTTCTTATAAATGTCCTGCCTTAGTTTGATTTGTTTCTTGCCAGCATTTTGTTTTATTTTGTTTTGTTTGTTTTTTGAGACAGGGTTCTACTGTTTAGCTCTAGCTGTCCTGGAACTCACTTTGTAGACTAAACTGGCCTAGAATTTACAGGAATCTGCCTCCCTCTGCCTCCTGAGTGCTGGTATTAAAAGCGTGCATCACCACAGAGCTTTTCTTAAATTATCCTGACTACCTTTGCCTCTGGGATTTTTCTTTTTCTTACGTCTGTGTATCTCACTTTCACTCTCACTCGTGGCTAACTGGCTGGCTGGCTGGCTGGCTGGCTGCTCCCTGATGTCCTCCTCTCCTTCTATTTAGTTCCTTCTCTTTCAGAGTTCTCCTATTTATACTCTCTTCCTGCCAGCCCCACCTATCCTTGCTCCTGCCTCACTATTGACTGTTCAGGGCTTTATTAGACCATCAGGTGTTTTAGAAAGGCAAAGAATCACAGCTTCACAGGATTAACCAAAGGCAACTTAAAAGTAGCACACCTTAAAATAATATTGTACAAAATGTGCCTTTAGTGATTGAACTATCTCACCAGTCCAGAGATGGGGTCTTTAGTGAGTTAATTAAGTAAAGCTACCAGCCAGTTGTGGTGGCACACACCTTTAAACCCAGTACAATGGAGACTCAAGCAGGCAGATCTCTGAAAGTTTGGGGCCAGCCTCGTCTATATAATAATAATAATAATAATAATAATAATGTCACCAGAGTAGTCCCTACTCCAATGTAACTGTCCTGCTGATACAGGAGAAGTCCCTTCTTGGGGACTTAGTCTTATTAACGAAAGAATTTAAAAATGAACTCAAGTGGAAGATAGAGGACAATTTTATTAGCATTTTAAAGAACTCTGGGGCAGGAAAGCTGTAAATCTAAGCTGTCCAGAAGAAGAGAATAGAGAAGAGAAAGAAGGCCAAAAAAACCATCCTGTTTGAATTAAACCATAATAGAAGTCAGCACTTTAGAGAAAAAGTAAGAAAGTTCAAAGTACCAGGGGAAAAAAAGGGTACTTAGGTTCTGGCTAATATTAGAAAGAGAGACAGAAAAAAGAACAGAGAAAAGTTGCACCTTCCTGAGACACAGCTTATAAAGGTGACAGACACGACACATTTTGTGGTTGTAGGGACTTCACCAGGGGTGTGATTTCTGGAAAGAAAATGTGTATCATCTTATTAGAGAAAATTATTCCACCTATTTTTTTTAATCGTGGTTTTGGTGAGCCTGCCTTCCTGGAGTTGTACCAGCCCAAGCCCAGCTGGGATGTTAGGTCCCCCACCAGGCCAGAGAGTTTATCCTCTAGACAAGAAGGAACTAGATCTCCCATGAGGGGCCTTGCTGTGTGACTTCTAAGTGATGAAGGCACAGGTGTGCACAGAAGAAAGACCTCGTGAGGAAAAGGGGAGAAATGGTGCCTACAAGCCAGGAAGAGATGACTCAGAACCCAGTCGTGCTGAGACTCCTCCCAGCCACAGTCCGTGGTACTCGGCTCGTGTCAGCCTTTGAAACTCAGGCAGTGGCTTTGCACATGTAGCTTTCATGAAACTGGCTAGTGGCCCAAAGGGTTCAGTCTTCAGTTGCTTTTCCAAACATGGGGGTAGGCCATGCAAATCTGTTTTTCTCATCCACTTTCCCTATGAGGTGAACTTGCAAGTTGAAGGAGGTGGTCACTTGTAGCATCCTCTTTAGACCATGCTTCCATACTTGGCCTCTTAACAATCACCTGCTTGATTCAAAGACCTTTAACTTTTTTAGTACATGGATAATGTTCAACACAAGAATGGGCTCCATTTCTACAACTGGAACAAGGATAATCCCCTAAGGAATCCCTTCTTCTCCCAGGTTTTCATTTGAGGTTTCCTATCTCTTCCAGTCACTAGCGCCATCTTGACAGGTATGGTGAAATCCAGCCTGATTCCAGACAGGGCTACACAGTGAGACATTGTCTAAAAACAAAAATATAAAAATTAAGTGCCTTCAATGGACCTTTTCAAAAATAGTGGTTGTTGTTGTTTTGTTTTAAATATTTTTCTCCTAAAGACAGAGACATTTTCCCCCAGAAAAGGAATGGATGGATAAGTTACCCTTTTTTGCCTAAATAAAATTTCTCCCTACCCTGTCCCTCATTGCCCCAAATTCTGGGATTAATGGATATGGGCCACCACATTTGGTTCATGTGATGCTGGAAATCAAAGCCAGAACTTCATGCTTGTTGGGCACGTGCCCTACCAACTAAGCCACATGCCCAGCCTCTATTTTAGTTTGAGACAGCTTTCCTATGTAGCTCAGGCTAGCCGCGAACTCACAGCACTTCTGCCTTGGTCTTCTAAATGCAGGGATTACAGGCATGAACCACACCACCAAAAAAAAAAAAAAAACAAAAAAACAAAAAAAACAATAAAAAAATGACTTTAGTATAAACTTTATGATGGTCTCCTCATACTTAATTTCTAATTACCCAATTTGCCTTCATATACATTAACCTTCAAAATGGTTATTATAACGTGGTTATGAAAGCTTTGTGTGATGGGGCAGTAGTGGAGCGTGTGTGCTTAGTTGAGGTAAGATCTGGGTTTAAACCCCAGTGCTCACACATACCCACACACCAGATCTATAGTTTTTGTCAGCTTGACACAAGCTAGAGTCATTTGGAAAGAAGGACGCTGGTTAAGGAAATGTGGTCACCAGAGTGGCCTGTAGGCAAGTCGTAAGGCGTTTTCTTGATTAATGATTGCTATGAGAGGGCCCAACCCAGAGGTTGTGCTACCCCTGGGCCTGTGCAGTACTCCTCTATGGTCTCTGCTTCCTTCAGTTTTTGCCTCCAGGTTCTGCCTTGGGTTCCTCCCCTGACTGCCCTCAGTGACGGAGTGGGACCTGAAGACTTGTGCGCTGGAACACACCCTTCCCATACAAACCCTTCCCATTTTGGCCGGGGTGTATTATCACAGCGACGGAAACAAGGGCTGACCTCAGACTCTGATTCTAGGAAGACTGAATTTGTGACTCTTCCCTTATCATTGGTGCCTGTTTCTCTGAGCACTTTCAGGAGAAAGACTGGAGATAAATTCCAGATACCAGTATCTGCTATCGTCCTCTCAATCCCTAAGGGAATCTTTCTCCAACTCAGTCACCTTTCCAGGCCTGCCAGTAGATTCTTTCAGTTCCCGGCCACCCTTATCCCAGTCTAGATGGAGAGACAAACTCCTAAAAAGCTGCAATTTTAAAAGCAGCTGGAGAGGGGACTCATGGGAGTGGCTCCACTTCCAGAATCCAAGGTTAATAGGCTGTGAAGGCCACTTTCTGTGCGCATTGTCCCTGCTTCAGCAGTTCCTTTAAACTGCCATCATTCAGTTTGGGGAGAAGAGGAAAGTGGGAATGGCTCCAGCTGCAAGGAGGCAGGGAACAATGCTCTCTCCTCCCCTTGCTCCCACCCCTCCTATGCTGAAGGTTTCTCCCACAGAGGCAGGCCCCAGTTATAAGCAGGAGATATCAGAAAGCCTATCCAATGTGATTTCAAAATTATTTCCAAGTCATTAGGGCCAATTACTTACCTTTGGGCCCTATAATATAGTTTGTTCTCTGCCAAACTGATCGTTTCTCCTGTCGCAAATATGATAATTCACTAGGGTGCCTCTCAATCGTACAGTAGAAAGAATAGAAATGAAGGAACGAACTGCCATGAGGAGTACATCTCCTGTTACCATCATCATTATTTGACAGTACTAGGGATGGAACCCAGAACCTGGAACGTGATAGGCAAACCACTTTACCACTGAGTCCTATCTCTAGTCTAGGCAATTGTTTTAATTAGAAAATGACTCAGGCTGGGTGGTGGTGATTGTAATGGTCTGTCCTGTCCCTTTAAGGGACAAGCCACTCCCACTCCCTCCCTGCCCTGTCCACCAGGCAAGCTGATCTTTAGCTTCTAGCCTGAGTCCCTTACCTTTCAGTCTCTCTCTCTCTCTCTCTCTCTCTCTCTGTCTCAGATACGGCTTCTGTCTCTGCCTTCTCCCTACTTCTCCCCTTCCCCTTTCTTTGGTTTTCTCTCTCTCTGCTCTTTTCCCCTTCTCCCCTTCCCTTCCATAACCCACTAAATAAATATCCAAACTTACTCCACGTGGCTCCCTGCCTGGAACCAGCTGCCTTCAGAGACCTGCAGCATTTTACTTAAACCATTATAGTACGCAGGCCTTTAGTCTCGGCACTTGCAGATCTCTGTAAACTTGAGGCCAGCTTAGTCTACAGAGCAAGTCACAGGACAGCCAAAGCAACACAGAGAAACCCTGTCTTGAAAAACAAACAAACAAACAAAAGAAGGGGGAGTTAAGAGCATGTGCTACGGCTTGCAGAGGACCTGAGTTCAGTTCTCAGTAGTCATGTCAGTTTCACAACGTTGCACTTATAACTCCAGCTCCAGAAGATCTGGACATCCATAGCCTCAGACCTCTGTGGCGACCAGGTACACACAGACACACAGACATATACATAATGAGAAAAATATTTGAGCCAGACATGGTTGCACAGGCCTTTAGTCCCAGCACGTGAAAGGCAGAGGAAGGTGAATCTCTGTGAATCCGAGGCCAGCCTGGTTTACAGATTTCC